TTTCTCTTCTTTCTTTTTGTTGAGCCCTTGATGGTTTGGACTCTTTTTGACTGTTGATGATGATGGGCTCTTGAAGCCTTTATTCTCCATTGGGGGGGGTGGAGGAGACTTTGGGTGAGTGTGCTTGATGACTCATGTAGTGGTGATGCTGAGCCGTGAGGAGTGTTTTTGTTTTGCCTTTGGAGTAGGCAGAGATCCTCTTGGGGATGACTAAGCCTTTCCGTCGGCTTTTCTTTTATGATGTCTGATGATTGTGCCCTCTTTTATTGAGTAATGATTGGAGCTTTGACTTCTGGAAGCTTCTTATGATAACTCGCTCTTCTTTTGCAAGGGAGAACGATGTTTGGAGACTTATGATTTTTTTGTGCCTTCTTTTCTGGGTAGAAGGATGGTAGTTGGAGCTCTTGATTTTTGGAAGCTCTTATTCTGCTGAGTCGCTTGATTGACGACTTGCTCCGCTTTCTTGAGGGCATTATTTGCAGACTCAGTCTTAGTGATCCTGTTTTCAATCACAAACATGGAGCTATTCTCCTTATATGCATGAATGCTTTTCGTTTTTGTTTTTTATTTGAAGTGATTTTTTATTTTTTTTTACCTTGACAAAGTCGTTTTGTGCGACTACTTGTGTGTGGATGCTTTAAATGCAATCTTTTCTTTTTGATTGATGCATCTGGAAAAGTGACTGGCATTCTTCTGCCGGACTCTCATGATTATGATGAAGGACCCCTCTCTTTTATTCATTTTTTGGTTTAGCCCTATCTTTTACCTAGACCGCCCTTTTGGGGTTTTCGGTCTTAGCGGGCTACCTTAATTTTTGCCTAGGATATCTTAGCGGGCTTTTTCCTTTTTTATGAATGCCCTAACTTTTGCCTAAACCGCCCTTTGCGGGTTTTCGATCTAGCGGGCTACCCTAACTTTTGCCTAAGAATCTCCTAGCAGGCATTATTCTTTTTATTGTCATTTTTTTTTCCTTTTTTTTTTGAGATAGGAGCCTATCATATGCATGCAATGTTTGCGATATGCATCCTATAATACTATTTCAATTAATTTTTCAAAAGGATTAACCGATGTGCTTTTACTTCTGATGAGCTTCTGACGTTATGTGCTTTCGTCGACAGGATAGGTTGTACCAATTTTTCCGTCTCGAATTTTGTCGTGACCGAAGAATGATTGTGTTAATTGCAAAGCGACTTGCCATGTTAGTGCGCCCCTCCCTTTCCTTGGGGATGTCGATCCTCCTATTGATTACTATCTCCACATTTCCCTACTAATCACTGTAGACCCCTAATTTTGCCCGGCCTCTCAAAATAAAAGCTAGAGGAACTTCGCCCGAAGATGGAGTTCATCCGGCTTCCCAAAACCGAGGAAACCTCCTGCAACAGCACGGAGCTCGCTCATCTGCACGATAAAGGCTAAAAAGACCTCGTACAAACAAAGGAAAAGTTCGCCTGGTATCTTAATGAAGGCCAAGAAGACTTCCTATATGAAGATAAAGCTTCAACGGACATATATCGGCATCAATCCACGTCCGAAACAGGAAAGGAAAGCTTCCCGGGGGTCCCAGAACGCGAAAGCTGGACAAAACAGGCCGAGACCACCGTCCCGTAGTTGGGACGGCCGTCCCAACTGGCCCAGAACAAGTGGGACGCGCGTCCCAGATGTGGGACGGCCGTCCCAAACGTCAGGGGGTCTCAGCCTTTGTAAAATTGCATTTGGGACGGCCGTCCCAACCCAGACTGGCCGTCCCAGATTGGCACAATGCAAAAAACGCGTTTGGGACGACCGTCCCAACCCAGACGGCCGTCCCAAAGTTCCAGGCAGCGAAAAAACTATAAATAGGAGGCTCATTTGTCTCATTCCACACACCAGACAACTCTGAGACTTGTCTTCTTCTCTCCCTCTCTCGAATGATCTCTCTGATTGCCTTTTTTAGGTAACAATCAGTTAAGGAATTTGTATTCCGGCATTCAATTTCCTCTAGAAAATTAGTTGAGTCGATTAGGGTAGACGAGAGGAGAACAATTATAGAGCGAAGGACTGCCGAAACGCGTCCTCTTTGTACAAGAATCATAATATAAAGCTTGCTACGGAGGTTTTTCTCAATTCTCTTCTTCTTCATTGCTTTATTTATTGTTTTCTGTATGCAATGTAGATAAATCATGTAGATAACCATATTTAAATAACTGTACGAATAAAATAGGGTAAATGCGTAATTTCTCATAATCTTCACTTAATGAATAAATCTGTCATAGGGAACCCGAAAGGGGCGTTGTGGGGTGCTAATACCTTCCCCACACGTAACTAACTCCCTTACCCGACTCTGGTTATAATGGCCAAGTTTGGTTTTTATCAAAATCAATGCCTTTTTCTCCTTTTCCAATGTTTATGGTCAAAACATTGGTGGCGACTCCAGAAGAACCCTTTTCGAAAACCTTGCTTCTATTAGAGGACAGTTCAGTGTTGAGCTCCTCGGAAGCAATGAACACAATTTTAACAAAAAACGCGAGTCTCAACCATCTTTTCGCGACCGCTCGCATAAACGTTCGAGACGTCCTCAGGACGTCAGAACGGACGGCGGCGACAGATGGCGACTCCGCTGGGGAAGTCCGAGAGTTGATCCCATTTAGTGACGGATAAATTCAAACTAAGAAAAGATTTGAAATTACGCCTTTACCCTTCTATATGTTTTTATTGTATGGCTTTAAATAACTGCTGTATGATTATTTCTGCAATTGTTTGAAATAAAAATTGCACACAAAAACCCTTGCACACAACAGTCCCTCTATACCCGGGGGCAAGAGTGAAAACCTATAGGGAGTGGGTGGCAGATACGATCGGTTAGTTGGCACACGGGGCTACTACCGTTGACGGAAAACCACCAACTCAAGGTGATAACTCTCTTCTTTTGGTCTAAGGGTGTCGACACGGAGTTCCGTGCATGACCCAAGGATTGAGAGATTGAGAGGTCCCTATAATGGGGGCACCTTGGGGACCTTTGGCCTGGTGAGAACAGTTAGAACCACCTAAACCAAGCACGTTTCTGCAGGAAAACCCTACCTCGTGATTAAATAAGCGTGGCTCTGCTCGTGGGTGAATCAATTGTGTGTGCATTTGTTTGCTTCATTTGTATTGATGCATTAGCATAGGGTAATCATACAACAAACAAAAAAAATGAAAAACCCTAAAAATCACAAAAATTGAAAAGATAAAAGACCTTTATCTCGGATAGTCTTCAGTTAAGCTAGCCTGGTTTCAGGTTCTTTGTAAGCTAAGTAGCCACGTTGACCGACAGAAGAGATAAAGGGTCATAAAAAATATAAAAACGAATGAAAGCCATAAAAATTCCTTTTTAAAATAAAAAAGATTCTTGGCAAAGTCGTATCATTCATACCATATCATCCAATAAGTGGTAAAACTAAGAGAGAAAATAATTACAGCATGCTCATCATTAAATAAACCCCTAAAAAATGGGTCTTAGAGACGTTTGTTGGGAAAATTACTGGGCCAAATCTCCTTTGGCAATTTGCAGCTTGGTTCTTCACCCTTTTCTCTTCGTTTTGACATGCTGTGCGTCCAAATCGGACAACCCAGTCAAAAGTTATGCCACTTTCAATATCTGCTGTCATAAAAAAATATTTTTGTAGTGCATGCATAAAAACATTCATTCTAAGATGCATTAGATATCCTTAGACAATAGCGAAAGATACCCAAGCGCGTTTATCTGGAAGAGATAAGTGTGCTAAGATATGTTGACAACCTTTAGAAAAAGGAAGTTAGCACATCAAGGTGGGTATGGTACCCTTAAAACATAGGCTTTTGAGAAGATACCAAAGCTATTGTCTAAGACATATCTATCTCACACTAATAATTTAAAAAGCTATAATAAAAATTGTTAAATCATTTAGAAAGTGGCTGGTCTTCCGCCCGTCCTCACTCGTGCTAAGAAAGCTAAGAAGATGGAGCAACTAGAAGAACAAAACCGAAAGCTCACTACTGAGCTTAATACGCTGAAAGAGCAAATGGCTCAGATGTTAGACATGATGCGCCAACAGAACCTCCATAAAGAGGGTCCTCAAAGTAGACAGGCCTCTCACCAAGAAGAAGAAGAGGAACCTCAGGATGAGCATAACCCATCTGATACAAGGGCAGTACATATTCATGTGCAGGAAATATCGAAACAACAAATTACTGCCCTTGAGGAGAGGTTGAGAGCCATGGAGGGGCATAACTTTGATGTCAAAGAGGCGGCTGATATGTGCCTCGTTAAAAACATTCAATTCCCCAACAAATTCAAAACTCCGGATTTCCCAAAATACATGGGAATAACTTGCCCCAAAAACCATCTTACAATGAACTGCCGTAAGATGGTTGCATATGCTGAAAACGAGAAGCTCCTGATCCATTGCTTTCAGGAGAGCCTGACTAAGTCAGCCCTAAATTGGTATATGCAGCTGGAAGGAGGGCAAGTCCAAACATGGAGACAACTGGCAGATGCCTTCCTTCGTCGTTACAAGTACAACATCGATGTGACTCCGGATAGGTCAGATCTACAAGCTCTGAATAAAAGAAACGATGAACCTTTCAAGGCATATGCTCAGCGTTGGAGGGAATTAGCAGGCCAAGTAGAACCTCCTCTATCCGACAAAGAAACCATATCCATATTCATCAATTCGTTGACAGACCCCTATTATGATAAGATGATAGGGAACACATCAACCCTTTTCGCAGATGTGGTAACCGTCGGTGAAAGAATAGAGCAAGGACTGAAGAGCGGAAGGATTGCACAACCTTCCTCTTCTAACGCATCATTCAACAAGTCCTTTGGCCAGAAGAAGGAAGGAAGCGTAAATGCCATCAACCTTGCTACTCCTTCTCCTTCTTCACCACCAGCTGGGCAGTCACGCAGACAACTGAAGAAATTCACCCCCATTCCAACCTCTTATGGGAGTCTGCTGCCAAAACTGTTAGAGGCCAAACTCCTAACACGTATCCCTCTGAAGAAGAAATTTGGGATGTAGATGAAGTTAAGGAAGGAGAAGAAGAAGTTAAGGATGGAGAAGAAGTTAGGGAAGGGGAAGAAGTTAAGGATGGGGAAATAGTTTGGGATGGGGAAGAAGTGAAGGAAGGAGAAGAAGTTAGGGAGGAAGAAGAAGAAGAAGTTTTGGATGGACAAGAAGTCAAGGATAAAGAAGAAATTATGGATGGGGAAGAAGTTAAGGAGGGAGAGATGATTATCATGGATGGAGAAGAAGTCAAGGAAGGAGAAGAAGTCACGGACGGAGAAGATGTTATGGAAGGAGAAGATGGTTTGGATGGAGAAGAAGTTAGGGAAGGAGAAGAAGTTAGGCAAAGAGAGGAAATTAAAGAAGGAGAAGAAGTTAAGGACGGAGAAGAAGTTTGGGATGGAGAAGAAGTTTGGAATGGAGAAGAAATCAAGGAGGAAGAAGAAGCTAAGGAAGGAGAAGAAGTTATGGATGGAGTGTAAGTTAAGGATGGAGAAGAAAGTTCGGATGTAGATGAAGTTAATGAAGGAGAAGAAGAAGTTAAGGATGGAGAAGATGTTAGGGAAGGGGAAGAAGTTAAAGATGGGGAAATAGTTTGGGATGGCGAAGAAGTGAAGGAAGGAGAAGAAGTTAGGGAGGAAGAAGAAGAAGAAGTTTTGGATGGAGAAGAAGTCAAGGATAAAGAAGAAATTATGGATGGGGAAGAAGTTAAGGAGGGAGAGATGATTATCATGGATGGAGAAGAAGTCAAGGAAGGAGAAGAAGTCACGGACGGAGAAGATGTTATGGAAGGAGAAGATGGTTTGGATGGAGAAGAAGTTAGGGAAATAGAGGAAGTTAAAGAACGAGAAAAGTTAAGGATGGAGAAGAATTTTGGGATGGAGAAGAAGTTTGGAATGGAGAAGAAATCAAGGAGGAAGAAGAAGCTAAGGAAGGAGAAGAAGTTATGGATGGAGTGTAAGTTAGGGATGGAGAAGAAATTTGGGATGTAGATGAAGTTAAGGAAGGAGAAGAAGAAGTTAAGGATGGAGAAGAAGTTAGGGAAGGAGAAGAAGTTAAGGATGGGGAAATAGTTTGGGATGGGGAAGAAGTGAAGGAAGGAGAAGAAGTTAGGGAGGAAGAAGAAGAAGAAGTTTTGGATGGAGAAGAAGTCAAGGGTAAAGAACAAATAATGGATGGGGAAGAAGTTAAGGAGGGAGAGATGATTATCATGGATGGAGAAGAAGTCAAGGAAGGAGAAGAAGTCACGGACGAAGAAGATGTTACGGAAGGAGAAGATGGTTTGGATGGAGAAGAAGTTAGGGAAGGAGAAGAAGTTAGTGAAAGAGAGGAAGTTAAAGAAGGAGAAGAAGTTAAGGATGGAGAAGAAGTTTGGGATGGAGAAGAAATCAAGGAGGAAGAAGAATCTAAGGAAGGAGAAGAAGTTATGGATGGAGTGTAAGTTAAGGATGGAGAAGAAATTTGGGATGTAGATGAAGTTAAGGAAGGAGAAGAAGGAGTTAAGGATGGAGAAGAAGTTAGGGAAGGGGAACAAGTTAAGGATGGGGAATTAGTTTGGGATGGGGAAGAAGTGAAGGAAGGAGAAGAAGTTAGGGAGGAAGAAGAAGAAGTTTTGGATGGAGAAGAAGTCAAGGATAAAGAAGAAATTATAGATGGGGAAGAAGTTAAGGAGGGAGAGATGATTATCATGGATGGAGAAGAAGTCAAGGAAGGAGAATAAGTCACGGACGGAGAAGATGTTATGGAAGGAGAAGATGGTTTGGATGGAGAAGAAGTTAGGGAAGGAGAAGAAGTTAGGGAAAGAGAGGAAGTTAAAGAAGGAGAAGAAGTTAAGGATGGAGAAGAAATCAAGGAGGAAGAAGAATCTAAGGAAGGAGAAGAAGTTATGGATGGAGTGTAAGTTAAGGATGGAGAAGAAATTTGGGATGTAGATGAAGTTAAGGAAGGAGAAGAAGAAGTTAAGGATGGAAAAGAAGTTAGGTAAGGAGAAGAAGTTAAGGATGGGGAAATACTTTGGGATGGGGAAGAAGTGAAGGAAGGAGAAGAAGTTAGGGAGGAAGAAGAAGAAGAAGTTTTGGATGGAGAAGAAGTCAAGGATAAAGAAGAAATTATGGATGGGGAAGAAGTTAAGGAGGGAGAGATGATTATCATGGATGGAGAAGAAGTCAAGGAAGGAGAAGAAGTCACGGACGGAGAAGATGTTATGGAAGGAGAAGATGGTTTGGATGGAGAAGAAGTTAGGGAAGGAGAAGAAGTTAGGGAAAGAGAGGAAGTTAAAGAAGGAGAAGAAGTTAAGGATGGAGAAGAAGTTTGGGATGGAGAAGAAGTTAGGGAAGGAGAAGAAGTTAGGGAAAGAGAGGAAGTTAAAGAAGGAGAAGAAGTTAAGGATGGAGAAGAAGTTTGGGATGGAGAACAAGTTTGGAATGGAGAAGAAATCAAGGAGTGTCGCCGCCTCCCTAAAAAGGGGCGCGGTCGGAGCGACGCGATGGTTTTTTCGACCCTCTTGTTTTCGCGTTTTATGGGTAGTTACAACGCCTTTAGGTTGTCCGATAACCGGGCTAACTTAGGGGCGAGGTTTTCGAAAGTATCCCTGGATTGTCTGATAACCAGGCTAACCCAGGGACTTATTTAATTTGGGTTCTAAGGAGTCGCCACCGATATTTTTACCATAAACATCGGAAAAGGGGTTTAAAAAGGCGTTGGTTTTTGAAAACCAACTTTGGTCATTAGAACCAGAGTTGGGTAAGGGAGTTAGTTACGTGTAAAGGAAGTGTTAGTTCCTTTACGACGCCCCTTTCGGGTTCCCTATGATAGGCCGGCTAACTTGAATGAATAATTAAACTGGAAAATAGCGCTTTTACCCTTTTATTATACGGTATTTAGAGATTATGACTACATGGCCCTAGTATCTATTGCATATATTTAAATGAAAGCAGTAAAAATGATAAGGAGAGAGAATGTGCACCTCCAAAGCAAGCTTTATATATTCTCTTTAAAAGAGAGGGTGCGTTTTGGCAACCCTTCACTCTACAAACTCTCAGAAACTCCGGAAATGCCTCAGAGGGATTCTAAAGAAGGTTTAGAACGCTCAGTTTTGTGCCTAAAGACGCTCAGAAGCTCCAGAAATGCCTCGGAGGGATTCTTAGAGAGAGAAAATCTAGAGAGAAGGGAGAGCTATGTTGATTCTCTATTGAAATGAAGGGGGGAGAGCCCCTATTTATAGGTTTTCGCGCCTGACAGTGGCGAGACCGCCAGTCTCGTCTGACAGGGTCGAGACCGCCATCTGGAGAATCCAGACCGCCGTCTCGACCATGGCAGGGGTCGAGACCGCCGTCTGGAAAACCCAGACCGCCGTCTCGACCTTTTGCAGTGGCGAGACCGCCGTCTGGACAAGCGAGACGGCGGTCTCGTCCCTGGCGTGAGGCGAGACGGCGGTCTGGACATTCCAGACGGCGGTCTCGTCCCTTCAGGGCGAGAAACCTTATTTTTCGGGCCAGAAAACCCTCCTATCTTAGTACGGGGGCCTAATAGTCTCTCCTAGTGGCTTGTTAGGCTTCAACCGTCTTCAAATAGGAAGCTTTCTGACTTTATTGTGAGGCCGGGCAAGATTTGGGGTCTACAAGGAGGAAGAAGAAGCTAAGGAAGGAGAAGAAGTTATGGATGGAGTGTAAGTTAAGGATGGAGAAGAAATTGGGGATGTAGATGAAGTTAAGGAAGGAGAAGAAGAAGTTAAGGATGGAGAAGAAGTTAGGGAAGGGGAAGAAGTTAAGGATGGGGAAATAGTTTGGGATGGGGAAGAAGTGAAGGAAGGAGAAGAAGTTAGGGAGGAAGAAGAAGAAGAAGTTTTGGATGGACAAGAAGTCAAGGATAAAGAAGAAATTATGGATGGGGAAGAAGTTAAGGAGGGAGAGATGATTATCATGGATGGAGAAGAAGTCAAGGAAGGAGAAGAAGTCACGGATAGAGAAGATGTGATGGAAGGAGAAGATGGTTTGGATGGAGAAGAAGTTAGGGAATAAGAGGAAGTTAAAGAAGTAGAAGAAGTTAAGGATGGAGAAGAAGTTTGGGATGGAGAAGAAGTTAGGGAAGGAGAAGAAGTTAGGGAAAGAGAGGAAGTTAAAGAAGGAGAAGAAGTTAAGGATGGAGAAGAAGTTTGGGATGGAGAACTGTCGCCGCCTCCCCCGAGAAGGGGGCGCGGTTGGAGCGACGCGATGGTTTTTCGACTCTCTTTTTTCGCGTTTTATGGGTAGTTACAACGCCTTTAGGTTGTCCGATAACCGGGCTAACCTAGGGGCGAGGTTTTCGAAAGTATCCCTGGATTGTCTGATAACCAGGCTAACCCAGGGACTTATTTAATTTGGGTTGTATGGAGTCGCCACCGACATTTTTACCATAAACATCGGAAAAGGGGTTTAAAAAGGCATTGGTTTTCGAAAACCAACTTTGGTCATTAGAACCAGAGTTGGGTAAGGGAGTTAGTTACGTGTAAAGGAAGTGTTAGTTCCTTTACGACGCCCCTTTCGGGTTCCCTATGATAGGCTGGCTAATTTGAATGAATAATTAAACTGGAAAATAGCATTTTTACCCTTTTATTATACGGTGTTTAGAGATTATGACTACATGGCCCTAGTATCTATTGTATACATTTAAATGAAAGCAGTAAAATGATAAGGGGAGAGAATATGCACCTCCAAAGCAAGCTTTATATATTTTCTTTAAAAGAGAGGGTGCGTTTTGGGAACCCTTCACTCTACAAACTCTCAGAAACTCCGGAAATGCCTCGGAGGGATTCTAAAGAAGGTTTAGAACGCTCAGTTTTATGCCTAAAGACGCTCAGAAACTCCGGAAATGCCTCGGAGGGATTCTTAGAGAGAGAAAATCTAGAGAGAAGGGAGAGCTATGTTGATTCTGTGTGGAAATGAGGGGGGGAGAGCCCCTATAGTTTTTCGCGCCTGACAGGTCGAGACCGCCGTTTCCTCTGATAGGGGTCGAGACCGCCGTCTGGAAATTCTAGACCACCGTCTCGTCCATGGCAGTGGGTCGAGACCGCCGTTTGGGAAACCCAGATCGTCGTCTCGACAAGGCAGGAATCGAGACCGCCGTCTGGAAAATCCAGACCACCGTCTCGACTTTTGCAGGTAACGAGACCGCCGTCTGGAATTTCGAGACGGCGGTCTCGTCCTGGCGTTGAGACGAGACGGCGGTCTGGGAAATCCAGACGACGGTCTCGTCCCTTCAGGGCGAGAAACTTTATTTTCGGGCCAAAAAACCCTCCTATCCTGGTACGGGAGCCTAATAGTCTCTCCTAGTGGCTTGTTAGGCTTCGGCCGTCTTCAAATAGGAAGCTTTCTGACTTTATTCTGAGGCCGGGCAAGATTTGGGGTCTACAGTTGCCCCCCCTTTACCCGACCAGTTGACTGCTTGGCCTTTTGTGCCGAGGTGATCGACTGGAGGGTAAAGGAGTTGACCCTCTTGCCCGGTTGCCCTTCGGATATTCCGTTTTTGCGGCAGATGATCTTCTGGGGAGATGCTTGTGTTGTGCGCTTCTGGGATGCTCCTTTGATGCGGTAGCTGACCCCTTCGGCTGATGAGTACGAACCCCCATCTAGTTTTGGCGAGTATGAACCCCCGCCTGGTAAGCCCCCTTTTGTAAGGCTTGATGAGTACGCACCCCCATCTGGTGTTTGATGAGTATGAACCCCCGTCTGGTAAGCCCCCTTTTGTAAGGCCCGATGAGTACGCACCCTCATCTGGTGTTTGACCTCCGGATGCTCCATCTTGTGGTAGCTGATCCTTTGGTTTGACGAGTACGAACCCTCGTCCGGTTTGGTGCCTCTGGATGCCCCTTCTTGTGGTAGCTGATCCTTTGGCGATGGTGGCGGCTTACTGATTCTGATCATGCGCCGGTTCACTGGGGAGCGATTCTTGTGTTTTGTGGTTTGGACCTTTCTGGAATGTGAAAGTGATCCTAGCAAAGATCTCATTGATTTGATGAAGTCAAAGATAAAGTCAAGGGTCAACTCTGCAGCAGTCAAACAAGTCACTCAGACATTTGAGCTGAAGATTTAGAGTGTCTAACAGAAAGCTTAGGTAAAACCACTTTACCTTTTCCACTGCATAAAGCTTCTTCACTCATTTTGCAAAATGCCTCAAAAATAGTTTTAAACAAATAAAAAACAAAAGCATTTTGTCAAAGAACTTTCCTAACAAATTTATTAACTGATATAGCTTTGAAAGAAACAATTAAAAACACTTAGAATGTTTTAAGAAGTGTTTTTACAGTATTTTAATCGATACAAACTTCTTTTAATCGATTAAAACCCTTTATGACCGATTGGAATTCGAATATAACAGGTCAGAATGAAATATAATCGATCAGATTTTAAATATGAGCGATCAGATTGCTTTAATCGATTAAAACACGTTTTAATCGATTAAAACCACTTTGGAAGTCAGGATGATCGATCAGAATGAAATTATGACCGATCGAAGTTGGTTATGATCGATCGAATTGAATTATGACCGATCAGACTTATTTTAATCGATTAAAACGTATTTCAATCGATTAAAATAACTTAGAAAATCTTTTTACAGAATTTCAATCGATTAAAACGAACTTTCAATCGATTAAAATGACTTGAAAAATATATGTGCAGATTTTCAATCGATTAAAACGACTTTATATCAACTAAAATAACTTGGAAAGTTTTATAAGAAGGTTTTTAAACAAATCAATCGATTAATACGCGATTCAATTGATTGTTTTATACTTAGAAAAAGTTTGTAAAATGTTTTAACTGATATAAACGTGGTCGTATCAGCTAAAACAATTCTGTTAAAGAAGCAAGAACGCATTAATGGGTTGAAAGGACTTTTAACAGATTATAACGGCTATTTCAACAGATTAAAACAAACTTTCAACAGATTAATTAATGCAGCTTTTTCTGAAAACTCTTTAAAAACAGTTTTGATTGAATTTTTTAAACAACAGATTGAACATCAGTTTTTAAAACATCCAAAGCAATCAATTCAAGCAACTGGAATTGGAATTTGGAGAGGTTAAGTGCAGGAACTGGAATTTGGTTCTTGTACTATGTGGTGCCTGGAATTTGGGTACTGGTTTCTCTGCAGCTGGAATTTGGTTGCAGAGGTTATCAAGAGATGGAATTTGGTTCTTGGTGGAGAGGTTAAGTGCAGGAACTGGAATTTGGTTCTTGTACTGTGTGGTGCCTGGAATTTGGGTACTGGTTTCTCTGCGGCTGGAATTTGGTTGCAGAGGTTTCCAAGAACTGGAATTTGGTTCTTGGTGGAAAGGTTAAAGTCAGGAACTGGAAATTGGTTCTGGTGTTAGAGTAGGTGTAAGATTGTTGAGTCTGTAAAACATCTATTCTAGTGGAACCCAGCTGGAATTTGGCTGGAGACTGGACGTAGCCCTGGTATTGGGTGAACCAGTATAAAATTACCGGTGAAATCTTTCCTAACCTTTCTCTCTTTAAATTCAGCTTGCTGCGCTTGTATTGTTTAATTGCTTTGTGATTCGTGAATTGATTAGTAAACTTAATTTTCGAATTAGATAATCTGTTTATTGCGAAAAACTTTCAAAAATCAATTCACCCCCTCTTGATTTAAAACTACTTTTCTAACAATTGGCATCGGAGCGAGGTGCTTGAAAGTTACTCAAGTTACTTCGATCCATGGCATTTTCTCGAGGGAGCGTACATTGATAGACCTCCACTGTTGTGTGGAACAGATTATCTATTCTGGAAACTAAGGATGAAAATCTTCATTGAATCTGTTAGTATAAATGCTTGGAATGTTATTGAAAAGGAAACTGACTTTGCTAACAGAATCCAAGATGATTGTATTGCCAAGAATATCATCTTATCTGCCCTTAACAAAAATGATCTTTTCAGGATTGCACATTGCCAAACTGCTGCACAAATGTGGAAGATCCTTGAAAAGACCTATGAAGAAGCACCAGAGATATGCTTAATGGTCAACTCAGAATCACCAAATACCAAGTGGCCATGTCGGGATAGAATGCCCGTAAAATTCTGATCATGTAAGTTCTAGCTCCTCTTCAAATTTAGTTAATTATGATGCATTACAAGAATCATTTAATGAAATGCATGAAGAGGCTAAGAAACTTCAAAAAGAAAATAGTAGGCTGAAAGGGCTAAATAACTGGCTAATAAATAAAGTTGATTCTCTGGAAAAACAAATTTTTGAAAATGAAACTGACCGTGAATTCTTGAAACTAATTCATGATAATTCCGATTGTAAATGCAATAAACCATGCAATAACTGTTCGAATTGCAAAAGAAAGTTAACTTTCTATCTCAAACTATTTCAAGATTCACACAAGGGCAAGCCAATCTAGATGTATTACTTGGATCTCAAAAATTAATTTTTGACAAATCTGGAATAGGATTTAAATCTAGATCCAGTAGAAACAAAAACAAATAGGAATTCATACTCGTAATTAAATGCTTTTACCGTATGAAAAAAGGGCACTCGTTAAAAATTGCAGTAATCAAAAAGTATGCCATTCCTAAAGGGAGAATGAAATGGGTTCCAAAGATTAATTCTTTTCAAATAACATGATCAGGACCCAATAATTATAAAGGGTACCGAGAAAATACTTAATTGTTTTGCAGGAACAAGTCCGGGAATCCCTTGAAGATCGTGAGCTCGAAACCAGGTTCTGTGTATTTAAATTAATTGTTTTAATTGATATAAACCAATATTAATCGATTGAAATAACTTACCGTACCATTTTAATCGATTGAAATGTCGAAATAATCGATTAAATTGTTCTCGAATGTTGGTTTAGTCGTTTTAATCGATTAGAATAAATTTATATCAACTAAAAACACTTAGGATCAAAATTAATCGATTTATTTACGCTTTAATCGATTTAAATACTGGTGATATTTTTTTATTACATTATGTACCATACAAATCGATTCTTTCATAAAACAATCGATTAATTCACTCGTAGATGTTTTCAACCCTAATG